CCATCCCCCAGTGAATATCCACTAAGTGCATGACAGTGGATTGGCAGCTGGCACCTAGACTGGAAAGCATAGAGCAATATCTGTAGTTGCAAGGTTCTTATGTTTTGAATTCCTGCTGGATGCTAGATGGAGGGGTTATAACATGCAGAGGACGGATCTAGCCCCCAAGGCGTTTGAAGCGAACAGTGAACTGAAACCAACTAAAGCTCCAACATACTGTTGACACTGCTCAAATATTGATTGGATCTTGGAGATGAGCTCCTCCACTTGGCTGCTTGACAGAGGGATGAGGTAGACAACACTCTTTAGTATACTGAGAATATAATAAAAATTTATGTGACAGTGAAGAAGTAAGAAAATGTGATACTTAATCTAGAGAATTTAAAATTTAAAAAGAAGTAAACCCATAGATGATCCAATTGTTGGAATTATCAGATGAAGAGTTTGCTTAATTCTTGTAGATACATTAAATAAATGTGGTTAGCATAGAGGAATGCAATAGAAATTTTTAATGTTGATCTTACATCCTACAACCTTGCTAATCATATTTATTGGTTCTTATAGTTTTTTAGGGTTTTTTCCCCATAAAAAATATGTAACCTGTAATTTATCTCTTCCTTTCTAAATAGTTTTCCTTTTACATTTTTATTTTGCCTTGGTGCACTGCTTTGAATGTCTAGAGTGATGTTAAATGCAAGTGGCAAACATCTTTGCCTTTTTCCTGCTTTAAGGGGAAAAGCACTCAATCTTTCACAATTAAGTGCGGTGCTTGCTATTGATTTTTTGTAGTTTTGTATTTTATAAATTTAAGAAATTTCCTTTTATTTGCCAGTTTGCTGAGAATTTTTATTGATTTCTTTTTCCTCCATTCATTGAGATGATTGTGGCTTTTCTTCTTTAGTGTGTTGATATGGCGAGCTCTATTGGTTGATTTTCGACTATTGAAGCCTTGCATTCCCAGGATAAACCCCACTTGTCATGATATATTACCTTTGTTATATAATGTTAGGCTCAATATGCCAATATTTTGTTCAGGATTTCATCTATTTCAAGGAGGACATTGGTCTGTAACTTTGTTTTTTTTCTATTATTATTATGTCTCTATTTGGCTTTAGAACAGTGTAGAAGTGGCCTCATGGGGTGCATTAGGAAGTATCCCAGCTCTATTTTCTGGGAGAGTGAAAGTGGGATAATTTCTTCCTGAAGTGTTTGATAGATTTCATCAGTAAAGCCATGTGGGCATAGGTTTTCTTTGCTGGAATGTTTTAAACTGTGGATTCAATTTTTCTCATAGGTTTAGGACTATTCACATTGTACATTTCTTCTTGAGTGCATTTTGATTATATCTTTTGAGAAATTTGTCCATTTCATTTAGACTTTCAAAATTATTGACATAAAAGCATTCATAGTATTCCTTTATTATCCTCTCAGTAGTTGTAAAATCCATAATGATATAACCTCTCATTACTGTTATTAATTATGTGGGTTTTTTCTCTTTTTAGAAATAGAAAAATCCATCTTAAAATTCATATGGAATCTCAAGGGATCCCAAATAGCCAAAACAATATTGAAAAAGAAGAGCAAAGCTGGAGGCCTCACACTTCCTGATTTCAAAACGTACTATAAAGCTACAGTAATTGAAACAGTATGGTACTGGCATAAAGACAGAGATATAGACTAATGTAAGAGAATAGAGAGCACAGATATAAACTCTTGCATATATTGTCAAATGATTTTTGAGAAAAGGGTGCCAAGACAATTTAATGGGGGAAAGAATAGTACTTTCAATAAATGGTGCTGGGAAAGTTAATTGGATTTATTGTGGTGATCATTTGGCAACATACAGAAATATCGGATCACTGTGTTGTACATCTGAAACTAACAATGTCATACGTCAATTATACATTAATTAAAAAGAAATAAAAAGTTAGAAAAAAGAAAAAAAAGGTGCTGGGAAAACTGGATATCCACATACAACAGTGTGAAGTTGGACCCCTACCTTACATCATATACAAAAATTAACTCAATGTGGACCAAAGACCTAAACATAAGACATAAAACTGTAAAACTCTTAGAAGAGAACAGGGTAAAACCTTTATGACATTGGATTTGGCAATGATTTCTTGGCTATGACATCAAAAGTATGGGCAACAAAAGAAAAAATAGATAAAGTGGATTACATCAAAATTAAAAACTTCTGTGCATCAGAAGACAGAATCAACAAAATGAAAAGGCAACTCATGGAATGGGAAACCATATCTCTGATAAGAGGTAATATTCAGAATATTTAAAGAACTCTTAGAACACAGCAACAAGAAAAAAACTACTGATTGATTTAAAAATGGACAAAAAGACTTGAATTGATATTTCTCCAAAGAAGATATACAAATGGCCAGTAACCACATGGGAAGATGCTCAACATCACTAATCATTAGGGAAATGCAAATAAAAACCACAATAAGATACCACTTCATACCTGTTAGGATGGTTACTATCATAAAAACAGAAAATGACAAGTGTTGGTGAGGACGCAGAGAAATTGGAACCCTAGTGCACTCTTGGTAGGAATATAAAATGGTGTAGCCATTGTGGAAAACAGTATGACAGTTCCTCAAAAAATTAAACATAGACTACCATATGATCGAACAATTATACTTCTGGCTATATGCCCAAAAGAATTGAAAGCAGCAACTTGCATAGATATTTGTACACTCATGTTCGTTGCACCATGAATTGCAATGGCCAAAAGGTGGAAGTAACCCAAGTGTTCACAAATGGATGAATGGATAAACAAAATGTGGTATGTACACAAGATGGAATATTATTTGGCATTAAAAATGAGGGAAATTCTGGCACATCCTATAATATGGATGAAACCTGAGGGCATAATGTTAAGTGAAATAAGTAGTCACAAAAGGACAAATACTGGATGATTGCACTTGTATGAGGTGTCTAATATAGCCAAACTCACATAAACTGGAAGTAGAATGGTGGTTGCCAGGAGATGGGAAGTATTGTTTGGTGGGTACAGAGTATCAGTTTTGTAAGATGAAAAGGGTTCTAGAGATGGATGGTGGTGATGGTTGTACAACAGTATGAATGTACTTAATGCCACTGAACTGTATATTTAGAAGTGGTTAAAATGGTAAATTCCATGTTATATATATTTTACCACAATAACAACAGCAACACGATGACAATAGTAGCTCAAGAAGCAGAGGGTAGTAAAAGGAGTCAAATTCTTTGAAGATTCTTGTGTTACTAACAAGGTGGTAAGTGTACTAACTTAAGGTAGACTGTAAAAAGTCAAATATGCATAACTACTAAAAGAATTATTAAGAATGTATAGCTAAAAAGCTGATAGAGAAGATAAAATGAAATAAATACTAGATTAACACAACAGATTCCAAGAAAGACAAGAACGAGAAAATATTGTATAGTTACATAAAGTACGCAATATTTTCTGTCATAAAGCAGGTTTTGATAAATAAGTACATTGAGAACATTCACAAATTATCAATCTTACTCTCCTTTCCAGGGGGAGAAGTCTGTGAAAATATATATTCTTGCTATATTTCTTTTTTACCAAAAGATTCTTTTAAGTACCTAGGCTTCAAAGATTGTGGTAATCTTCCATGAAACTGGCTATCTTAATTAATAATGCGTTACCGCAGAAATAACACTTAGACATGACTGTTTTTCGAAAGTTATACATTGTTTTAAGTTTCTTTGTGAAGGAGCTTGAAGAACTTTGGCACTTCTTTCTTTTTACTTTAAGCTTTTTTTCTTCTGTCTTATTGGAAATACTTAAACGATTGCAGTCTTTGGTAGTCATTAACTCAATACTTAACGTTTTTCCTTATTTCTCGAATTTGTCCTTGGTAAATCTTTTTATTCTATGGTCATATTTTCTAATTCTTTTTTCTCCCTGTATTCTGAGAGAGTTCTTCATTCTGATCTTCCAACTGACTAATTCTTGCTCATCTTTTTTCTCCCATTGTAATATTTCACCTATTATTTTTAATTTGCTCTGTTATACTTTATACCAAATATTCCAACCTGTTTCTTTTTTATAATTTTTGTTTCAACTTGCTTGTTTAATAATCTCTTTAAATATATTTTCATTCTTGTTTTAAATTCCATGATGATAGGGATCATGACTACTGTATCCTAGGGCCTAGTAGTGCCTGAAACATGGAATGTTTTAAATAAATGTTTGTTGAGGAAATTGAGAAAGGATTTGGAGGGGAGGAAAAGAAGAAAACACAATATAGGTATAGAAGAAATGCAACTTTATGATATTTTTATAATGTCAATTAATCATCACTTCCAGGCCTCATCCTACCAGATTGTTAGCAATCAGTCTCGATTCCTGTGAGCATACTCATTCCAACCCCTATTTTTTCCTGATGTGCTAGACGTATACATAGCAAAAGTCCTGAGTGTGTGTGAGGTGGAGGGTGGGGAGAGGCAGCTGGTCATGGGAACAGCTCTCCACAGAGATGCCATTGAGATGTCTAGTGGCTAAGACCCACATGGCTTCCTCAGATCCCATTGATCTCAGCTTCTTCCATGCCAGGATTCAGCCATGGGAATATCTGTGTGGCTACTTCCGGTCTCATCTTGCAAGCATCTTACAGCTCTTTCCTATCCAGAGGTTGATGTCTTCCTGTGAGTTTGCCAGGGAAGCAGAGTGCAAGCACTATCTCTAGAACGGATGCCTCCTCTTCTTTGTCTCCAACTCCCAACCCCAAGACGGACTTGTTCTAGAAAGCAGATCTTTCTCTCTTCACGGTTCTGGTGCAAATTCCTTGCTACATTCTGCCCTTCTCCTCACTCTGGGGATAGCATTCATAAACAAAATTCAAGAAGACCCAAGCCATCTCTTTTCACTTCGCCATATCCCTTCCCATAAGACCAGTGTCATATGCTTTAATTGGAGGACAACAGAGAGAGAAAAAAACATTAAAAAATATGAAAATATCTTGCTGCAGAAGAAAGGGAAGATACAGGGAAAACAATCTATTCTCTTCTTCCTTTTGTGAAGCAACTTAGGTGTACAGTGAAAGCACTAGGTTTTGTAACAACCTGCAGGTTTTGATCTTGCTTTCAAGGTATTTCCCCCCGTAGGGGCCAAGATAGAGAATCTAGAAGAGGCAGAGACTTTTTTCTTATACATACAGAAAGCAGAGCCATGTGTTTGCAATCTGAAATGTGTTCTTTTAGGAAATCATTGTGAAGAGGCCAAGGCAACAATGTCACCCAGAGACTGGAACCACAGAAGGACCAGCAACTTTTAGAGGTGTTCATTGCAAAAGTCATGGCTCCTACAGCACCTGAAGTTCACCAAATAGACACTCCATTTTATGTTGTCTACACTGGCACAGTTCTTTAGGCAGCCCATGAAGGTTAACCAGGGAGTACCATCACCTGCAGAAGAGGGGAGAGACAGATCAGCAAAGGGGCTTCTGCAAAGAAATTTTTTCCAGCCCACACCAGCATATAAAAACAACCTTGTGTAATTCAAGGCTGTCATTCAAATGTGAAGAATTGGAAGATGTTGCAAGTTGGGGGCTTCCCAAAAGAAAACCAATGGCAGAGTAGTTAAAAATTGTTGGGGGTGGGAAGGTAATGGCAGCAGCAATTCAGGGATTGCCAAAGCTGGATGATTCAGTTGAGAATCTTAACACTGGTTTAAGTAAGGGTTATAAATGCTGAGAGATTGCTTAACAAAAAGAGTGAGAATTTGAGAAATCATGATGTTTAGTCTTACCCATTAAGTGCCATTTAGCCAGTATTTATTGCTGACACTGGCCCCTCTATCTCCACAGTTTAAAACCACCCACAGAAATTCCAGGCAGAGATAAAGTCAAGGAGCTGAGCTTCCCACTCCAACAAACAGTTGTTCTCCACTGGTCATATGGTACCTCTCCTCTTACCCCAATTTAGTCTCTTCTGTTTTTTTCAGGCTTCTCAAAATACTGATTCCAGAGCTATACACATGATCCCTTAGTGACCACCTCCATCCATTTTTCATCATGGCATATGATGGGGAATAGAGATATCTCACATCCCAGGGCTGAGACTGATGGTAGTAAAGTAAGCTTCCCTCCTTTTTACTATGATTGATGTGCCTCCGTCTGCTTCCTCTGCCCCACCTTCCTTCCACAAACCAACAACTTACGTTTGAAAATCCTCCCAGTTGTGCAAGACTCTTCAGCGAATGCAGTACATATTCCTCTGCCTCTGGAACACTTCTCTCCTGGAAACTGGAGGTGGCACATCCTACACTGAACAATTTCTATAGTTTGGGCCAGAGAGGAGAGAAATAGAAGTGAGAGCAAATCTCACACTGCCATGAAAGGATGCATCTCCCCTTTCCTATTTGAAGTCTGCTTTGAGCCTGGAGGGGTTTGCCAAAGACCCGTTAAGGGTGGGCCTCTGCCTCTATCAACGTAGAGTAAGCCAAGAGAGACTGGAGTTTGAGGTCTCAGGAATTTTACCCTGAAAAATGGGAGGGGAAAGAAATATGGAGGAATAAGGAAAAGAGAAACAAAATCAAGACTGAAGTAATCAGATCAAGTCCTCTTCATACTCACCAAGATAACGATCTTCATTAATAAATATTTCATGGACTGTACTGGCAAAGAGAAAAAAAAAACAAATCTGCAACTTTGTCTGATATTTGCCCCTGCATGGGACCCTTGTAATCCTTGTAATGCGTGGGGCCCATCTTGCACTTTTAACCTAGAACCACCCTAGGCCCTTTCTGTCCCTCTGAAGCCTAGTCGTCCTTCTCAGGGCATCTCTGCACCTCTTCCCTCCTTTCAACAATCTTCACCTCCACAGGGCCTCTCAGACTCCCATACTCATCCCTATAGCGTGTAGCACTGACCAGAAGGAGAAAGATAAGTGTACATTTTTCTTGCCTCTCTCCCTTCTTCTTTTTTCGTTTTCTTTTATTTTTGGTAAGAAAGATTGGCCCTGAGCTAGCATCTGTTGCCAGTCTTCCTCTGATTGGTTATTGGTTAAGAGTGCATGGACTTAACCACTATGCCACCAAGCTGGCCTCCCCTTTCTTTTTGATTGATCCTATAGGGCTTTCTTACCTATGTGTTCCTGGAAGCTGACAATGGGGAGGAGCATCTGAAATTCATGAAGCTGCTGCTTTGAATTTGGCTAGATAGTGCCCATAAGGTCAACATTCTACTTCCTCCTTTCCCTTTTTCTTGCCCTTTATTACACTCACCCTTTGCCTTGACAACTGCTGCTCATGGTATTTTGTCAAACTTAAAGTCAGCTCCCATCCTGGCCCCATCCTGCTGGAACAGGTTGCTGTGTGCTGAAATTCAAGGTCTATCATTGGATTCCTCTCAGCCCCCACTGTCTACCCTACCGCACTCATCCGCCCCTCCTCCAGCCTTCCTCTCACACCAGTGATCCATTTCTACTCACCTACATGTTCGCTGTCTGAAAATGATCCAGATGGGACTGTTGGAAAGAAAGATACACTCTGTGAAGACTTCATTTTACAAACCCCACCTCACAGCTTCTATGAAAATCCTCTAAATTCCTTTATAATCCACCTATTTCCTCCAATAAGAGGAGGACTAAGGCTTTGGTGAAGGTCCCGGGGACATGATGCATTGTGGGTGAAAATCATGGCATTAGAATCACAGTTTCTGTTACTATATGACTCCTGTAAGAGAAGTGCTGTCATAGGAACCCTGACCCGTTCCAGGATCCTGGAGACACCTCACCGTCAGCCTTAGGGACGCACCTCTAAAGCAGCAGAGCAGAATGGGGAGTCCCAGCAGGAGGGACTTGTCCATTTCGGAGGGAGAAAGGAGCAGGTTAGAGCAGGAAGCTGTAAGGTGACTATTTATACATCTGCCAGGTTGGGCTTCCTCAGGAAGGCTAGGGGTGGAGACACTGTGGAAGTCCTTCAAAGGTGTATCCTATGCCCAGGAAAACCAGTCCCTCTGTAATTACTCTTTTTGGCAAATTGAGAAGAAGAGGGACTTGCTAGGTAAGTCCTGAATCTGATTTATTTGAGACCTACCGCTCAGGATTTTCGATGCCGTTTCCACGACTTTTTCATTATACCACACTATGGGAGAATACAAGGATAAATCAGGGCTGGGTGGGTAAGATTCAGAGTCACATACACCAAGGTGCTTGTTAAAGCTGAAAGAATATACGCATGCAAATAATTGGAAAGCAGAAAGGCCAAAAGAAGGCTGAGCACAGAGCCTTAAAAAGGCATACTATAGGGAATGGGGAAAAGAGGTGGCAAGGTTAGACTCAGAGGCATTGACAAAGGATTATTATGAGGCGAGTAGTTTCCTCTGTCAATCATCCTGGAATGAAGCAAACCCTGGGGTAGAAGGTGAGAGCTAAGGAAGAAACTGCTCCCATTCTTAGAGTATCCCCTGCGGTTGAGACTTAACAAGCTTCTGTTAGGAGAGAGAGGTTTGGGGCTACTTCTCCTGGAGGGAGGTAAGCTGGTCCTTCCCACTTGGTGTCAGCCGAGGTATCAGGGGTGTTTTGCTTCAACTCTGAGAGTGACTAGGTGTTCAGTTAGGCAGATGGCTGAAGGTAAAATTCCCATGAGGGATTGAGCTTGTGGATTCTAAGAACAGTCATATCTAGTGTCTCATTCTAAGTTTTCTGTTAGTTTCCTTCAGTTATTGCTATACTTTCAACAAATTGCAATCGAGGTTGCAGCTTAGTCTCTGCTGTCACTGCAAGGAATTGAGGGGAAGTTCTGTGCCCATGCTTAGGGCAAAGCGATATAGGGAGAGAAACAGCAACTAGAACGAAGCAGATTGCAATAGAGCACAATATAGGTCTACAGAAAGTGGGGTAGTGGTCCAAGCTGGATGTTGGCTGAAGAGGTAGAGACAACAAGAGAGATGTACAGAGGAGATTTTCTCCAGGATTTTTTGGAGGTTATTATTACACAGCAAAAGAGCAAACCGGCATTTCCATACAGGGAGGAAGGAGGAAGTAGATACAACTAGTTAACTGCTTGTACGCTGGTGAAGCTTTGAAATAATACCATTAAATATTCATGTATTACTTACACACACGTGCGCGCACACATCTATTCATACACAAATGACATCTCTGATTTTGTGTTCTGCATACTCACTAGCAGATTTCTCCCTCTCCCTCTTCTCATTGCTCTGAAGTTTAGCATCTTCTCTTGCATCTTTGCATTCCTTTCTCCGACCTTTTGAGATCTCCCCTCTTTTCCTTCTAGGAGTTCCATATTTAAATCTTTAGCTAATGGCAGGCCCAAGAAAGGAGGGAAGGTTTCCTTCCTCTGTCCCGTCAGAAACTGTCTCCTCACCTAATTATACTCCTATGATATTATCATGCCATCCTAAAGCAGACTTCTCCCCCTCCCCACTTTACTGATCCACCTAGATTTCTTGCTTATATTTTAACCCTATTTTAATGACATACTTTTCTTCTAAAATCTCCTCAAACTCATACTCCCAGCCTTAGTATTCCATAATACCTGATTTTCTTACTGGGTCCCACTCTGTTCATTTCCTCAGTGTCCCTAATCCTTTTTCTTATCCTCTTAGGACACCTCTAAATAATTCTTTACGTCATCAATTTCAGACTTATGAAATAAAAGTATTCAGGAATGGGGTCTGGCCTGGTGGAGTAGCGGTTAAGTTCACGTGCTCCACTTTGGCGGCCCGGGGTTTACCGATTTGGATCCTGGGCGCAGACTTTTGCACCGCTTATCAAGCCATACTGTGGCAGGTGTCCCACATATAAAGTAGAGGAAAATCGGCACGGATGTTAGCTCAGGGCCAGTCTTCCTCAGCAAAGAGTGGCAAATGTTAGCTCAGGGCTAATCTTCCTCAAAAAAATTAAAGTATTCAGAAACGAACTCCTTTTGCTTATTGCTCTGAACCTTATTTAAGTCTGTATGGCCCCTTTATTCATGAGGCCCCCACCCCATCACAGAGTTCTGGAGGTACAGTTAGTCCAGAAGAGTAGCCCCGGGTTTTACCGCAACTCTGGGAGTGACTAGGTAGGTACTCAATTCTGTCATAGTATGTATGATTAGAAGAGATTTTGATTATGGGCTAGGATTTTTGGTTTGCATCTCCGACGCTATCATGCAAAACAATAAAAATGATGTTTCTTGAATGGAAATTTTCTTTCCAAACAGTTATCATTATTTTCAAAAGAAACAGATCTACTCTTCATAGGGAATACAGCAAAATATCCTGAAATTCATTGGTAATCGAGATATTTTCACATAATGACCACTTTGAATGGTTAATGGAGCTGGTGGTGAGTACCAGGATTTGAAGAAAGAGATGTCAGCTTAGGCAGATCCCACATACGATGAGGAGGGTCAACAAGATGAGGAGCACAGAGACTGTTCCACTGCAGCATCAATGGCCTTAGGCTCCTGGTGTTTTCCCAGTACCCATAGGACTTATACCAGTGACCAAGCAAGGAAAGAACAATTTCTTCTAGATCAGGGTTTGAAAGAATGGTCAGATCAGAACAGCCTGCCTCTTTTCTCTCAGGCAAGTGAACAGCACAGCTCTGAGTGACCAGGACTGGACGAAACCAGAGAGGTTCTACCCTCTTGAGGGATGTGAAAACAGGAAATTTTCAGACAATATGTGCAGATCCAAGAAAGAATATAAAAGAAGTATCTCTGGGGAGCTTTTATATGTGTATTCTTGTCCACTATGAGACTTGCCATCCCCGATGATTTTCTGGGAATCTCAGAATTGTTCAATATGTTCACAATTTCCTGGATAGTTTTTTCCTGTGATGCTGGGGGTTGGAGAAGATAATATGGACATTGAAGTGACCAAGGAGGTAGGTCTAGGAGTCAAGGGTGAAAAGGTAGCTAATAATCTATCCATTGTTCCTATTATAGCTTACAGCTCAGATAAAATTTCCCGTACTTTCAATATCCTGTATCAACACACCTAGCTATCACCAGGGGAACTCTTTCTAAGGGTGACCTCAGCTAAAGAGAAACTAGGGACTTCTCTTCTGCTTTCCACAGTAAATTCACCAGCACATGAAGGCCACGCTCAGAGACCTATTTGCAAACTGCCGGCACTCCCAAGGTGGCAGCTAGCCCTCTGTACTGCTGAGTTTACTGCATACTTTTTAAACGCATCTCTTCAGATCATGAGCATAATCTCTCTGTGTTCACACAGACTGTTCCTGACCAGTTTAATGAAGCAGATCCCCCTTGTTATTCCCTTTGTGTGTGCGTGTGTCTAGATGTGGGGTTTTTATATTGGTGAAAAATAATACACATATCAAAGAGTATAAAACACAAATGCATATCTTAAATTATTTTAAAGTAGACTATGTAGCTATGAACCAGGTCAGGAAATTAAATATTCCCAAAGCCAAGAAAAACGCCCCACCCAAAGCGCTCCTTCCTAACTACATTTTCCTTTCTCCTCATCTAGTGGGAAACATTATCGTTTCTCATATGGCATTTAACCATTGTTTTGTTTTATAGTTTTACCAGACTATATTTTTGCCTGTTTTAAAATATCAATATAAACAGAATCAAACAGTATACCTTCTAGGAATTATTCACGTTTTTGCAGGAAAAAAAGTTTTACTTTTTTTCTGTATAGTATTCCATTATATGACTATTAGAACTGAGAACTTTCCAGTACCAATAGAAAACATCAACTCTGAGACTCAAGAAGCCCAAAAAATCCAAAGCAAGATAAATTTTAAAACACAGCATTATAGTGAAATTTTAGAAAGTCAAAGAAAATAGTAAGATGTTCAAAGCAACCAGAAGACTAAAAGCATAATACATCCAAAGAGCATTGGACTGGCAGCTGGACTCAATAAGAACAATGGAAGGTAGAAATTAGTAGGATGATATCTTCAATATGCTGAAAGAAGGTAACTGCCAGGAGAGAATTCTATAGCCAGAGAAAAATTCTTCAGGAATAAAGTGAAATAAAGACGTGATTAGACAATAGTAATGCCATCAACAAACTTGCGCTTATAGAAACTATGTACTATTAACGAATATTTGTTAAATTGAATCGATATGTTAGTTTGAACAAGTCAAGGCTGGAGGACAAATGCATACATCTGCGGATTCCTGTAGAGAAGAAAGAAGAGCTTTCTGATGCTGCCATCTGCTTCCACAGGTCCATAGAGCCCTCCCACTTAAGATCTCCTTAATGCTTCAGCTCAGCCTCCAGCAATACCAAACCCCATAATCCTCCTCCTTTATGGGGTCAATCTTCTTGAATGCTCGGGGATGGGTCCAGTTATTCTTATGAAACCCAGAGAGAAACAGATATGTTATCTTTGGGCCAGCAGTACCCTTGGTACTCAAGAGGTTCATGAAAACAGCATCACCCAGAGACATCAAGGATGATGTACAAATTCAGTGTCAAATTCTACAAATTAAAACGAAGACTGAAAGGGGCCAATATAATTGAGCACAAAGAGGTCATTCATGTCCACAGTGAGAAGAATAAAGAAGAAAAGGAGCATCAAGATGAAAGGGAACAAAGAGTGAAATGTCTAGCAAAAAAAGGCAAGAAAATGAATTATTAAATAGTGTTAAATATATGACGTATCTAGGAATAAATTTAATACAGGTTGTATAACTTCTGTAAGGAGAAAAATGTCATAATTAAGAAAAGCTAACTAAGATCCAAAAATAAATGGAGAAATAGACCATAATTATTGGCTGGAAGACTCAATAATGTAAATACATTAATTTTCCCCAGATCTATAGATTCAAAGAAATCTTAAAAAAAAATTTCAGACTATTAAAAGACTTTTATTT